TGCTTTGATTTTGTTTCACTTTATGATTAGTTCCTTCACTCAGTTCTTTGAAATGCAAAGTGATGCATATCTACTGCCTTCATCACAAAGGTGATGTAGATTAGTGTTCTGATGCCTATAATACAATATGACATTCAAGCACAAAGACACTGTCTATATACAAAACACTTTCTCAATAAATCTGCATGATTTTCAAATGAAAAAGGTATAAAACATTTTTAAAAAGATAAAACTGACTATATATTAATGAAATATATTACTGCACTGACTGTTTCTTCTCATCTATTTTTTCAGAATAAATGCGACAAACATTTATCATATGATGGATAATTATAAGCTGCGATATAGATTATGAAAATAAAGTATAGAGTGCTTTATGAGAACAAAGTAGGGGGTGGGATACAGCACATTTACTTGTTATCTATTTTAATCTTAACAGTATTTTTCTCAGGCTATCATCGCTTTTGTAGAGGAAATCAAAGCTTCTGGTTGTTAATTAATTTGCCCACGTTCGCACAACTTCCAAGTGGGAGAACCAAGAACACAGGTTTAACTGAAAAGACTATGTTCTGTCCACTCTTCCTTGATTTTGCTAGTATCTACATATTCAATGGTTTCACTAAGTGCACATCTTTCTTCTTTCTCCCCTATTCAATGAGGTCTGATTAGATACCCTATATCAATAGGTCCAACTGCTTCATTAGATCCCCATAACTTGCTCCTGCTTCTTGCTAAGTATGTATCACTCTCCAACATACAGTACATTTTATTTGTGTGTATGTTACTACTGGCCCTGTGCTACGTGGTACTTCCAGGAAGTTAGGAATCTGATTGTTTTGCTCACAGATGTCTGTACACCTAGCACACACCTAAACAAAAACAAAACCCCAACTACAGTGACTGGCACGTACAGGCAGACATTGGCCCATTTTTCCTTCCCACTTTTCATCTTTAGTTGTATCCAAGAATTTATTTAATCATCTTCACTTTTAATTCCTGAGAAAACAAAACAGACCTTTATCTGAGCCAAATTCACTTTTAAATAATAAGTGCATTCTAAAATTCTTTGGTTAAAAAGAGCCTGAAATTATGAGTATCACTTAAAAAAAATTCTAGCCAGCGAAACAGCAAAAAAACGTGGAGGATACAGATGATGATCAATGGTCAGTATTTAGGAGTACCTGCTATGTCTTACGATTATTTAGTAGTTAAATGTCCACCACAGATGAAAACTTAAGAATCAGAATATAGGTTGAGTATTCCTTATTCCAACTACATGGGACCATCTTTGATTCTGGGTTTTTTTTTTGTTTGTTTGTTTTTTTTAAATATTTGCATGGTTTTACTAGTTTGAGCATTGTTAACCCAAAAATCAGAAATCCTTAAATTTTCCCAAAACCAAAGCCTTTTGAGGTTCATGCAAAAAGTTTTGGATATTGAATTTCAGATTATTAGATTAAGGATGCTCAACTTGTATTCTAAAGCAATGGTTCTCAAACTTTATGGATTCAAAAACCTATTAAATTTTTAAAGAAAGGTTGAAATGATGAAGTTGCCATATTTTATTTTACCACAAAGGGATATTAAGAACTAAACAGTTACTATCACTAGAATTTCATCAGAGTATAGGAACACAAAAAAGACAATTTCAGTTTTAAAAAAAGGTAGTTATTTTTATGGAGTTTATTTACATGAGAACCTCATATAAAGATAGTGAATTTTAAGCTCTAAATGCAAAAACAACTAAAACTGTTAACACTTCATTTAAAAAGAAAACTCAGAAAGAAACAAATTGGTATTAAAATAAAAAATTTCTAGTTACTAACAGATACTTTACTTAAAGTGAAAAGGCATACTAAAGACTGGAAGATTTGTTGGGTGTGGTGGTGCACACCTGTAATCCCAGCAATCGGGTGGCTGGGGCAGGAGGATTTCAGCGAGTTCAAGGCCAGCCTGGGCTACATAGTGAGATCCTGTTTGAAAAATTTAAGGCTGGAAGATTTCTTCAAAGCTTACTAAGTACTGTTATCCACAATATATAAAAATAATTACAAACCAGTAAGAAAAGGTAACATTGAGCAGGTAATTCACAGAAAAAGCACCTTAATAGCCAATAAATGAAAACATTATTAACTATGTAATTGGGAAACGCAAATGAAAACTAGAATGAGGTTTCCTACTACTTACAATGGCCAAAACTGAGAAGTCAGGTAGGTTATCTGTAAGGTGGAAAAACTTCCTCTCATCCAAAACTGGCGTAAACACTTCGGAGAAAATACTAGTAGTTATCCAATAAAATGGAAGAAACCTGTATCTTGTAGTCTAGAAAGCTACTCCCAGGTTTATATTCCAGGATAATCACAACATCTAGGTCATCATAATGGGGGCATCACGAGATTAGAAGTCAGGGATGCCTGGCACTCTTCCTGCATAAAGATAATGCAGCTCAATGTCCTATGATTACTAGCTACTCTGCTGGACAATCACAGAGCAGAACCGGGGAAGGAAAAAACAAAATCAACCTTAGTATCAGCTACTTCTAAACAAGACATCACCAATACATCTGTATTAAGAAAGGAGATGATGACTATTTTAGAGAATTGAACCAGTATGGAAAAAAGAGACAGTTACACATTTTTGTTCAAGTTAACTGGGAATAGTTTAGAGAATAATTTCTTTAGAAAGTCATTTTTCACCAACCGTGTCACTTGCAGTATACGAATGGCCATTTAAACATAACTATAATCTAGTAGCTGTCGTAATGACAATGACATTACCTACTGGTGCAAAGTATTTGACTACTACTTCTAGCAATGCTTCTTAGACTTTACTGTGCACACACACTGCTGGGAAATCTTACTAACCCACAGGGCCTGAGATTCCACACTTCCAACAAGCTCTCTACGCCACTCGAGGGTCAGACTTGGTAGAAAGACTTGAGTGTAGTTGAGGTCAAGCAGTTAAAAAAGTACTACTTTAATTTAAAAATTCTTTGTCTAAATATAGAATGCCAGTACTAACATGAAAGAAACTGAATTCATCAATTAGTACTCTTAAACTACTATCACATAACCTGAGTGACTATCGCTTATAAGATTTTCATTGCCTTTTCTAAAAAATGAGTAGGTGGCACATTTTATTAGTGCTATACTACAGATGGAGAAATTAGAAACTGATTCAGGTGTGGAACTGGAGTCCAATTTTGTGACAGAATTTGGAACAAATTCCGACATCAACTGCCTAATTCTACTGCGTTCACTAAGCTACTAAAACCATTATTTTGTAATTATGATCTACAATAATTTGGTCCCACGAAATAAAAACAAAGTCTTTGTCCGCTGTTCTTTCATATGTATTTCAAAATAAGCGAAGAAAACACGCCACGTCCTGTATCAGCTACAGTAGAGTATAGCAAAGGACAAAATTAAAACTGCCTAGCCTGCTGAAAATCTAATCCTATCCTTGCCAATTAACCTTATTAATACTAGAGCAGGAGAAAATAGAGGTCAAAATATGCATAAGGGGGCTATTCACTTCCTTCCTCCTGGATCTCAACTAACAGCAAGTAAGGCACAAAAGAAATTTTTATCTTTTATAGGTTGTCCCATGTTTACCTTCACTTATTTACGGAATGTCACTACCTCTCCCAAAGTAGAATTTATCAACAAGCATGGAGCTGGGCAGTCGCTATTAGAACACAGGCAGTCATGCTTATGACCAAACGACTGTATGGGGTACGATGAGGTTGTTATCCAACAGAATTCACACAATAAAGCCACGGCGAGACCAATTCTTCACGGAGAAAAGTCCATCAACTGTAAATCTCCTTGTTACTGTAAACAAATGATTATTACATTATGTATCTTCCTACTCAGACTCAGCAGTTAGTCTCAAATACTGACATAAAATTCTTGTCCAAAACTATTTACTAGAGGCTTAAAAAAAACCAATGAATGATCTTATGTGTCAAGCATTACATATCTTTTAAAAAGTATTACACAGAACTACCGTTCATAAACTAACACCCAACATGTTAAAGTTCACCTTCTGTCTATTCCGTTATTCACCCCCTGCGTACCAAGCCTACCTCACACTGACTTGAAGCATCAATTAAAAAATATTCTCTGCCCCTGGCAGAAATCTCTCCGTGAATCAAAGCTCTTAACATTTTTTTAAACGAGAAGCTGAGGTTAGAGTCTCCTTCACATTGTCCTCCACACAACACAATCTAATTTGACACAACTTTCCTGTTTCCCGGTAAAATACAATTTAAAAAAACAAAAACGTCTTAATTTTCCAATTCAAGTCGATTCCTGATAAGCCTGCCCTAGAGTCCTTCAGGAGATTCAAGTTCAGGCACCTTCAGCACCAACCCTAGGACGGCCCGACCAGGACGCACAAAATCCGCGCGCACCGCATCTGACACCGGGCGGGCCGGGGTCCGCACCCCCGGAGGAGGCTCCCGGGCGCCCGCGGACCTCGGAGCCGGGGCCCGGTGCGAAGGCGAGCCCGTCCCTCAAAAGGATCGGGAGGGAGGGAAGCAGCGG